GTAACCACATTTGATATAAAATAGAATAACAAACCAACTCATTCTTCAAATGGAAATTTTGCTCTTTGAAACTGTTTTGTATTTCTCAACTAATTGATATTAGCTCTAACTAATTGATAAGTTTCCAGTAAAGCAGATGATATAGAATGGAATCAACGTAAATCTATCGCTTTTTTCCGAGGTTCACGCACAAATGCAGTTCGTGATCGTCTCATCCTACTCGCGAGACGTTCTCCTTCGCAACTCGACGCAAGATATACCAAGAATCAAGCATGGAGATCAGTTAAGGTGATTAGTTGATCAACTAACCGATGATTCGGTGTTACTTTGATTTCATAGGGTGATCGTTTGAATAACTAATCTGACACCTACCTCATGGCCCAAACGTACAGGTTTAAAGGTAAATCATCCCTAGACTCGCGTTGGGGCTGATACTGAGTTCAGCTTGAGCTCAGAAACTGCTTGAGTTCAGAGAAGTTTTTAAGTAATAATTAACAAAGCAACGTAACAACGAGTCTTCATAACCATGTTATTACAGAATCAACAATAGTAATTATTAAGCAACCATTTCAGGACACACTCGGTGAAGAACCAGCCAAGGAGGTACCCTTCGAAGAACACTGTAATTACAAGTGAGAATCTATGTAAATAGCTTATAAGTTTTGTGTTTTGAAAAAACTTTCATCTTTTCTGATGTATCGTTTGACCGAAGGAAACGACCTATAACGGGAATATATTCATTAAACTTACTGGAATTTGTCACTGTTCTTATTTGCTCCGATAAAATTCCCCCTGCTTTTATCGAAATTTTTCAAAATATGTTGGCGGTAAGGCATTCATTGATTCGCGATCACGATCTTCGAACAGCTTCTTTTTCTTCTCATATTCTTTTGAAATTGATGAGGGTGTAAAGCTTCACAAATTTTCAGATATTTGCTGAATTTAGCTGGTGTGGCAGCAAGTTTCCGATTGAGACACTTGCTGTTGTGTGGATCGGTTGTGCTTAACGTTGGTCACGAATGGATCGAGTTCTTTTACGGTTCACTCAAGCCATGGATTCATTATGTGCCCGTTTCAGAAGAATTATTGGAATTGCACAAATTGATTGAGTTCGCCAAAGAACACGATCAAATAATGCATNAAAGCGTAAACCTTCAAATATTCCTCGAATCGAATACTTTCAGACAAAAGCACCATTGAAACTTCAAAGCAGTAATGTGCAGATAGGATTATCGTTAAAAACCGGTCAGACATAGACAAGAATCCTCTGGAATTCCATTAATTTTTCAATTACGACCATGGCATTCTCCTGATGCAGTATATCTTGTAGGGATTCATATGTAACCAAAAAACTCTAATGCATGAGCAATTATTTCAGGGGACGGAGTTTCGTTGAGTCGCATTTGCGCGTTGATGATGTGTTATGTTATTGGCGACTGTTACTCAAGAACTACTCAAAGCTGATCACTTACCGTATACAACGAGTGTCTTCTTTCAAGCGAATACTGTAGCAGTTGACCTCACCGAATGAGTGAAATTGATTCCGTAATTCGAGATCTTCTTTGAGGCTGTACTTTTGTTTCGAGCAAACGGCTCATTGACAGTAATGAACTAATAGCAGTGAACGTCTTGAGGTTATCGGCACTGATGGTGTTGAATGCTTTCCTCTTTCGTAAAATTGTTATTTGCTTTCATTCAGTATATCAGATATTTTCTTAAGTCAAGTTTCAGAAAACATTCCATATTGCGATTCTAATTTTGCTCATTAGTTATTGTTTGTCGTTGAGGTTTGTGTCCTTGTACTGATCATTCTAATAGTGATACATCAAAATGTTAATGCATAAAACATTTGAATATTCCGGTCGCATTTACTAATACAGTCTAGAATCTGTATCACTCAATATCTCATGCATGGTTTTCGTTCACGTTTATAAACACATCTGTCTTATTGGTCCCTTGTATGTACTCATTGTTATGCTTGATTTTTTTTTTCAGAATAGATATGCCCATTTACAATAAAATAACTGTGTAACTAGGTTCTTCACATTTACCAGCAATAAAAATCTGTGGAACTTGTTATTTTCTACGTCTTTCACAATCTACACAAGATACAAGGTGAACAATAATTTATTGAAGAACCATGTTGCTCATTCAGAGTTTTCATAAACTAAACCTCACTGTTTACAGTAATTTTCACTCGTCATAAGAAATGCCCATCATAATTAACTGCTTTGAATTTCACATTACATAGTCAAATCAGAATGTTGTAAAACTCATTAGTGCACATCTTAAACATTATTTCTTTTGTATGTGAACAAATATTTTAAACAATGTAATTTCCTTGATCACGCTGGTTGTTGTGGCCAGCAATGTTACAAACTTTTGATAGCCTGGCCAATCCAGGTAAATTTCCTTAAACGGATCAACTTCTTTGTAGAGAATGTTATTGGCCATGCGCTGAGAATAAATAATAGACTTACTTCACTAGTCAGCTAGCGTACTTGATGATAGAATAATGCATATTCTTGTTGTCAGCTTCTCTATACAAATTCTCTGAACATAGCGACTCTCTATTGCAGTGATTCTCGTTTATTTATGCTACAACGTATGTGTGCATTTTTAAAGTTGCGCGCTTTTGCATTCGATAAGAGCGACGAACTTTTTGGTTCACCACTTTAGAGTATAACATAGTTTAAGGCGATTAGAGGATTCCATCCGAAAAAGTTATTTAAGGTTGATAGGCGTTATTCCTGTGAAGTTTCTGCAAATATTTTTACGTGCTATGTATCGTGTAGACGACAAGGATCGGCGGTAATGGGCTTAAGTGGCAGTAAAAAGGACGAACCTGAGCGCATAAAGCAGCAGCAGCAGCAGAAAGAAGCTGCTATCGGATCTTCTTCATTACCTTTGAAGAGACGTCGAGCTCCTCGATATCCGTTTAATTGTAGGCTCAATATTACACAACGATTTCTACCTGACTTCTTCTTTGTCAATGAAACGATCAGGTTGGTTTTATGTGTTCCATTGATGAGTTGATGTTGAATTAATTTTCTCATTGGCATTATCCGGTTTCCGTCTATTCCGGCAATGAGTTGCTGAATACGTTTCGAAGTTAACTTCATCAAATATTTGAAATTTTCATACCGCAGTTAAACTCACTCTTTATAAGCGATGAGAAATAAAGATGGTGATAGCTGGGTAAATTCAAATCCAATTTGAAAGTGTTTTCGCTGATTGACTGAGAAACAGAATGCAAAAAGGAATTCTGTGGCCTCAGAATGATGCAAAAGGTAATTTGTAATTCCAGTTCACTTTTCGTCGATGAAGATGGCGATTCGGCGAACGAATTCTACCTGGAATCATTTGAAAAACAAAGGAATCTGACAACATTAGTTCGGAAAGTCGACAATCTTAGGCCAATGGTCAGTTCGGTTCCTTTCTTAGTAAGAGAAGACTTTAATTCATGAGCTGTCTTTTCCAAGAATCTGGTTTCTTCCCGTTCAACTTCAATTCATCATAAAGAACAACGAACAGTGGAAACATTCTTTNGTGATGATAAGTATGTTTTCAGGGACGAGTAAAGTACCCAATCCCTAGGCTCCATCCTGATGTTCCGTTCGTGATTTGGGAAGTAAATCAACAAGAATGATAATCTACATTAAACAAGTACGCTGTAGTCAATTCATTATACCAGATTGATTCAACAGATCTCAATGTCAGTTGTATTCAGCATTTGTCATTAATCAATTTTGAGTGCCACTAAGAGTTAGTTTTCCACTGATTTTCCATTGTTTGCGTTACTCATTGTGATCCTCTGTGTTGTCCTTCTACTGGAACTAATTATCTGTTAATTCAGTCATTTCATTAAAAATAACGATCATATTTACCGTATTATTTATAATCTCGTGTTTCTATTTAATCTTCAACTGTGATTCTTCATTGCATCGTTTTGATAAAAGTTAACAAAATCGTACGAATCGTTGACATCTTTTCGAAAATTACTTCGAAGTATTTCGAATACGATACACAGAAGTATTCCAATGTTTTCTACGCGTGCATTTACAAGAGCAGATCGGCCAAAGGTGGTCAATGTAAATCTAAGGTAAAATTATTCAAAAACGAAACATTTTGCGAAGAATATCCCTTGAATGAATTTTATACAACATCGAGCATTGTGTAAATTATTTTTTCATACATCCCAAATAATTTCACACAAAAAATTCTATACAGCCGAATGCTATATAAAATCACTGTTATGGCTGAAGTTTCAGTTTCCTGCGGAAACAATGCTGATATTATATTATGCACAAATCTCATAATATTAGATTATTGAAATTACAATATCATTATTATGCAGCGGCATAGACTCATGATCGCTTACAACAAAAATTCACTGGAAGAAAGCGCATAAAGTGATGAGAGGACGTTCTGATGAAGCATATATAAACATACACGTACAAAACTGGCACACAGCTTTTTATAGATTATCGTAGAATCAGACGGCGATTGTTTCATCCGATTGATTTTCAGAAGTATCGGGTGAAGAGATACTGACGAGAACTCGTGAACATTGCTCAACACGTTTCTGTTCAGAACATTTCTGTTCTTTATAAATTGGAAATTTTCTCAAAAGCAGATTGCTGCGAAGAAATATTGGTTGGTCAACAAAAAGAGAACTAAGAGAAGAGCATCGATTAGAGCACATAACAATTGAATTGGTGATTGGAAAGGAGCACTTATGATATGATTCGAACAATTACATGCACAACTCGTAATCATCTCACTGAATTGTCGTTTATATAATGAACAAAATAAAACAACGTTAATGTTGAATTTGAGTGAGTAACATTTGACTAGAAATAACTGATCGATTAGACGGTATAACAAATTAGTATTGAATCGTCAACTCATCAGCGTCGTTCAAAGAATCTGTGGAAAAATACGCATATCATTTGGAGTTTGTTGATTTCTTCTATCTCTCAGATTATTCTATCGATTCATAAAATCTCTTGATATCTCATAGCCAGCTTATAATAATTTATTTGTAATATTCTGAATCGTGTTTGCGATTAATTGCAACACGAAAACATTAAGCATCCATCGGGATCTGATGGAAGACGTTGAGTGACAGTATGTGTGAGGTTTCATGAGCCTCAGAGCCTCAAGTTTTACTCATTTACCTCATTCGAGCTCTTATGAGCAAAGACATTCTTTTTCAAAACGAAGTGTTCACAGTGTGATTTGAACCGTTGGAATGTTGTGAACGAGTCAATAATCAAACTAAATCCCGTCTGGATGCGATAACTTTCAGCTCAGTTTGTGGTGCAAAACAAGCCAATTCTTCGTCAGTTATCAAGAAAGATGTATCTAATAACTGATCAACTGCAAGCACTGCCGCTGTGTCGTTATCGATTCGTTCAACTGGCTTTGGACAACCCTCACTTATCGACTCTAAATTTGCTTCTTTTTCGGCGATTCTCTCTTGACGTCGTGAGATTATTCGATCCACATCAATCTGAAATTTTATGTGTTTGATCATTACCAACGCCACTGGAATGATATAAAACCATCCGAACAGGAATAGTAAATTTTTTTTTCAGAAGTAAATTTCTGGAATGCACCTGACGTTCGTACTTTTCGAGAGTGAACAAGAGAAGTCACGGACATATGTAGAAATGGTTACGCTGAATTTAAAGAAATTATGACGATTTCAAAATTTTACAACGGTACAAAAGAACTGATGCAAACCTGTTCAAGAGGTTCATCGATGGTCTGACCACCCCACTGATTATTAGCCAGTTTAGAAGACGTCATCGAAGAGCAATCCCACGACAAATGATGTTTCCTATGCAATTTAAAGATATCGTTGGTAAATCAATTAAATTCAATTAATTCAAAATGGAATCGAATGAACTGATTGATGCATACACATCACAATAATGAACAATGATGAAATTATCTGTGAGTTCCGCTCAAATTCATAGCTGTTTACTTATTGCTCACTGGTGAATATGAACTGTAAGACGATTCACAAAGAATCACAAATGCAATCGTATATGAGCGAAATTTTCGGCGAAACAAACGATAGTTTTTATAAATTTTTTAGGAAGTCTGTAAACAAAACTGAGAATAACCTGCATATTTGAAGGCAAAGCAGTAACAGTAAAACGGATAAAAGTAATAACAACAGTAAAACAATTGATACAAGAGCGGTATGGAGCGCTGGAGGTAGTACCATCAATTATATGAATTCACTTAAAACGGTACATCGAACCTAACAAGACAGGAACCTGAAACTTTTTTCCAGACATAATCTTCATACAAATTCAGTCCAAGCAAGTTCATCGGAAGCATTCTCCGAATACGAAAATAGCAAAAATGAAAAATAAACTAGATTCATTTCATCGGTAGATGAATTTTGCTGCATGTTCGATATTGAATCCGAATTGAGAAATGCAATCGCCTAGTGAAGAACACATCTGAAGGAGAATCTCGCTCACATACATCTCCCCTGCTCAATTTTACCACGTTTACTCCTCGCAAGAATCGCACAGGAATGTCTTAGTCATATCTCCCACAAATTGCCCGGAAGTTTCTGTTTTTTTTTTCAGGTCAAATGCCTTCCTTCTCACGTGAATCCATGAAGACTGTGGAAAACTGCACTTAAATTCACCACAATTCATTATCATCCAATTGTTATTATCACTTCTACGAATGATAAGTGAACAATTGAAAAATGGGCGATAAACATGATGGAAGCTGCAACTGAAGTTCTCCTCGGATAGGCAATCCACCGTTTCTTTTAAAATCTGTTCTGTCAAAACGTATTGCAAAACGGATTCCTCATTAAAAATGATGTGAAGTTACTTTCGAAACCACTGCGGAACGATGCAAAACGTGCAACTCATTTCCGAATACTGAAATAACACAAAAAATTCCCCAGAAATACACATTACTGTTAAACTGTGTTTTATTTTTCGATTGCGCTCTTTAAAACGATGGAAATATTTCGAAAAGCCAACCCTCACTTAGCATCAATTAAAGTCTAAAGAGTCTCTGATGGGACAAGCACATTTCAGCTTAAAGGGAATATGTGACTCATTCAAATAACGACGATCGATGACGTCGAATGAATGCTTCTTTTTTCGAATCATTTCAATTCAAAAATCAAAAACGAAATAACACATACGAAATATTTCTGTCAGAAAAATGAAACTTTATTATACGGATTTTCCTCTATCAATTTAATCCGTCAATACCCTTAATAATAATAATAAAAATGGTAATCATAATAATAATAATAATAATGACACTAAATTATCATATCACGTCGACAATATTTCAAATTATTATTATGTTCTTAATAAACAGTCTGACCGCAGCAGCAAAATAGCTATATCTATTATGACTGCATCAATTTCTATTTCGGCTGACATAAACAATTTATTAACTATGCTCAAGCGCAACGCGTAATACATTTCATTAATCGATGAAAGAATTTGTGAACAGACATGACAGTCGTAATTTTCAAATTCTAAACAACTGGTAATCCGAAGTAAGGACACCATGGAGAAGTTTTTCGAAGAACCCAGTCGTGAACGGCGAGGACTACATCAACTCGGTCCAAATTTTAAGGAATCTTGCTTCTGGCATTCTTCTACACTAAATGGCTTCTTGCATTTCATCGAGAACGCGACTGCCAAATTGCTTCACCAAAACCCAACATTAAACAACATAAAAATTCTTCTAATGAGCATAAAAGACGTGTCATCGTATCGTATCATATCGATGACGAGAAACGATTCAAACAAAGAGTCAGACATTACGTAGATCTTCAGACGAATTCAACAAGCTCGATAATCTAAATGAGAAAACATTAAAATTTAAAGAAAAAAATTCTTTTAGATAAGCACAAACCAATGACGACAGATTAATGTCGCACAATAGCATTACCCAATATAACTACTACTGAATAATCACTATTCAGCTTCTAATTCAAATAAGAGAATAAAAGCATTCAAAAGGAGAGAAAAAAATTCATCACCAGTAAAATTTAATACACTTTAATAGAAAACCTCAACAAAGTCAGTTCAAGATCTAATAAAATAGCATTTGTACTCAATAATCCAAATATTCTTCATTCAATCCGCGAAATTATCTCCATTTAGGAATCGAAATGCTACTGGAGATTTTGATTTCATATCTAAGGATTATATGCTATTTGATGAAGATGATCTCCTGGAAGATATTGTCTAAAATCAAATGAACTATTTCTAAATCCTATCATNCCGATTGCAAAATTTCGTCCCGACTACATTTTCCGCCCCGCAACACATTAGTTGGAGATGAAGAGACGAAGAAATGAGTTTGAAAATAACAAACATCCAAAAGATATTACAATCTTATTAGCACTAACAGCAAATGTTTAATTAAGTCCACTATGTGGCGAAGGGTGAATGAAGTACACAACACTAGAATTAAGCACATGACAGGCTCGATAAATGCAACTTTTACGAAACCGAATTCATACGAGGAAAAAACGTAACCTCTCAATGAAATACTCGTATTTTACTAGAAAAGTTAAGAAGGTCGATCTCCGGATGAAATTTCAAGCACACAAGAAGTGAACAACGAAAGCAATCAAAAACATGAATGAATCCATGAGTAGATGAAACGATTTCTTATCCGAGCAGCAAAAACAAACCAAAACAAAACAAAACGAAGGGAGACAAAATTTTTCGAGAAATGGTTCAGTTCTCACGCTCAGAAGCTACTGATTTCACAAAGAAAATATTAGAAATAATGAAAAAACGTGCGAGTAAAACGCAACAGAGTAGATAATTAAAATCGCATAGCGGTACATCAAGAGAATTGAATATCTCAGGCAAACGAAACTGCCTAAAAGCGAAACTGTGAAGACGAAGGCACTGTGAAGAACCGAGTGAACAGCATGAGTCAGTGAATTTTAAAGAACGATACCTAGATGCTTAAACTGATGTACAATGTGAAGTACAACAGTAATGAATAACCTCAATGTAATGCATACTGATTGTAAGAAAACGATTGGTGTAAAATTACAATACGAACTAGCACAGAGTGAAAAATAACCGTAATAAAAGCGACCTAACACATATACCTCAACAATTTACAACTAGAAATGCGATCGAGATTAGAGAGTAGTAAGACAGGTGATTAATGCGAACAAAATTTTAAGTACAGTTAAGGTTAAAAATTTAACGAGAAAGAGCGATTCGAATTAATATTCAGTGCAAAATTAGTCATCTTCTTTTTCGCAAATCTCGACGTTAAAGTTAGTGATTAACATAACAGTTAGCATTCATTACACGGATAGTATAAGTACGCGTCAGTCTGAATGTTATTTGGGAAAGAAGAGACGGATGCAATTATAGTGACAAAGAAATGGTTACAGTGAGACAAAGTAACTACCTGTATCGGAAAAATCCCTAAACTGAAAGATTCAAGAGAGAAAACTTTAAGAAACACGACGAATAGATTCAGTTATGCGCACAGATCTCCCAAAAACGTATCGGTGGGTTAAGCTAGTGTTGATAGTGCTTTTCGAAAGTTTCGAAAGATGATGAAGATAAAGGTGGATCAGTTATCCGGTGTGTTCTTTCGATGTAGTAAGTCAATTGTAGACGAGAGATTGGCGAATGGACTGCCAGATGCGAAGACCGGCGGTTGTGTACTCATAAGACTCATCTTACGACCTTCAATACTAAGGGTACGGGCGGGCAATTGCGGTGCAGGCATTGCATAACAACTATCCAAATACATGTACGACACTTCTTCCACTAAACACTTATCCGGGACTGCGGCAGCCATTCCTAAAATGTTTTAAAGATCAACGCATATTTTTTTGAGAATTACAGATGATTCTTTTTCAGCGAATTCCAGGCGATCCTTCTAAGAGGCGTTTTTTAGAGAGATGAACGAAGAATCGATTAATAATTATAGTGTTGAAGGTAGTGATTGTTTACACGCTCAATCAATTTTAATTTTCCAATTTACATTTATTTAAAACATCACGATAAAAAGCTTTCCAGTTAATTATTGCAGATCATCCGCCTACTAAACGCTGATCATTTAAGATACAATTTTTTCACCTAGACAGAAACACTGTAGGTGACTGAACGAATCAATCATCCGACTAAAGTATTTTGGATCGACTGCAAGGCAAAAAAGTTTAAAATAAACAAGGAATACCGTATATAGCTGCGGTTCGAGTTTGCTGCAGCTCAGGATTCGTTACCAAGTCTTCACAAGCTGAACTCAGATCACACAGAAATTCATCGACAACGCCTGCTTTGGTATGATTTAGTGTCACGCAAATATGTGCCCTAAAAAAAATTTGCTTGTAAACAAATGCAAAAGATTTTTATGGAACAATCTGCTGGTTATTATGAATGGAAAAGAAAAAGTTTTTTGAATGCGATCATTCTGGGAACGAACATTCCATTCTGTTGAAAATAACTTCAACTGAAAGCGAGATGAAGTCAAGTCAACTTCTGCGGCATTTCTGCAGCCGTCACACATTCTAGGCCAGATAAGGACACCAACTATCAATTGATAATATGATGTGACAGGAAATTTTAATGGAGGATGAAACGAACGCAGCGGGATTTTGTAGGGGGCGTATGGACCATCCGATTTTGTTCATTCGATCAACCAGAGAGTAAATATT